AGAGGGGATGGAGTACACTGGGGTTAGGAGCTGAGGGAGCAGAGGGAGATAGGGCAGATGGGGAAGGAGCAGAGGGGAGGTGGCATGCTGGGGAGTGGGAGCGCAGGGACTTGCTGAGGAGTAGGGCAAGGGGCATGCTAAAGGCAGCATGGGCAGAGGGAACATGGGTGGAATGGGGGGCAGGAGCAAAGGGGGATGGGACAGGCTGGGGGTGGAAGGAGTGGGGACATGAGCAGGCTGGGGTGAAGGAGCAGAGTGGGACAGGGTGCGGGAGGAGGAGGAGAGGGGACAGCAGAATACTTCCCTATGTGGAGGAATTCGCCTGGCCATTTTTCCAGGTTGGGTCCTGAACTGTCCAGATCGCAGCTGGGGCCAGTCATTGCTTTATCCCATCAGCTCTTGGCTAGGAGGCTGCACCCCGTCCTTCCAGTGTCCCCTTCCAGCCTTGTCACTGCCATGCACCCAAATGTCCAAAGGCCCCAGCTGGCTTCAGGACCCCCTTGCTGGGCACTGCATAACCACAGTAACAGCCTACCCCAGCCATCTCCGGACAATGATCTAAAGACAGCAATGGAGCATGGCAGGGATCAGATAGAGCACACAGGCCAGTGAGCGGGGCGGTGAGCAGGGGACTGGCCCATGGATTGTAGCTGTTGTTTTGAGTCTGATAAAGGTCTGCACGGGGGAGGGCAAAGGGTGAGGGAAGGGTAGTCACAGTGCATGCTCAGCAGGATGGCTTTGTGGGCACCATAGCTGAGGTGATCTGGGCACCTGGAGGAAGAGAAGGCAACAGCTGTTTGGATTTTGTCCAGGCGTTTTCCCTATACTCAGAGGGGCAGCGTGGAGACAGCCCAGAGGGGTCTGAGACTGGGAATGGTGGGGTTTCCATTACGAAGGCGCTTTAACAGTAAAGACAAAATGCTTGTGTTTGATGTGAAGGTGCAGGGGTAGCCAGGGGCTCAACTAGGGGCCTGCCGTGTTCAGAGCCACGGGCGGAGAAGACCAGCTTAGCAGCAGCCTTCTAAATAGAGCCGGGGCTGCAGGAGTGGAGGAGCCAGGGGAAGTGAGGAGGCCTTGGGTAGGTTCTGGGCTGTGTGCAGGAGAGGAAAGGCCAGAATTTAGAGCTGTTGTGGTAGGACAAGTGGCAAAGCTTAGAACGGTCTGTTGTAAGGACCAGTGAAAGATGGCACCCAGGAAGGGGCCTGAAAGCCTAGGGGATGGTGGTGGTGTCCACAGTAGCTGCAGAAGTGGGAGGGGGAGGGATGGGGGGAAAGGAGGAGCTCCGTTTTGGCCATGTTGGGTTTAAGATGATGACTGGACATCCATGAAGAGGTGGTGGGTGATTGCTCATCAGCAGAGAGGTAGGTTTGTGCATCATCAGGAGAAAGACGGCACGAAGGCTATTCTTACAGCTAAGTGTACCTAGAGAGGGTAAAGAGGGGGAGGCCAAGGATGGAGCTTTGTGGGACCCCCACAGAAAAGAGGAGGGGAGACGGGTGACTCACCTAACGAGACAGGCAAGAGGAGAGGACGGAATCATGAAAGTCAGTGGTGCTGAAAGCCACTCAGAGGCTGAGGAGGATGGAGAAGAGGCCCTGAGACTTGGCCAGGAAGTGAGTGCAGTTTCAGTGGAGTGTAGAGAGCAGAGCCGGATTGGACAGGGTCAGGAAGGGACTCATGGGCAGAGCAACTATGGAGAGCAAGCGAGCCTGGGGATGAAGGGAGAAGCGAGACTGGGCAGTGGTCTGAGGGAGAGCCTGGGCCAACAGTGGATTTGTTTCAGGGGGAACCCTGTGGGTGGAGTGGAACCTGATCAGGTGAGAGGTTGAAGAGTGTGAGAGGGGCTGAAGAGAGAGCAGGCGGGAGTCTCTGTCAGTGACAGAGGGGAGTAGGAGCAGGTGGGGCTTGCAGAGGTGTGGAGTGAGGAGGGAATGGTAGAGGTGGGGTTTGAGGAGGGAATGGGAGGGGCTGGGTTTGCAGAGGTAACGGGAGGGTGGGGCTTGAGGGTATCTGTGACCTCTGCTGGCTCCTGGTTTAACGAGAAAGGGGCTGGGAGCAGGGAGCTTTCTGTGGCATCCAATCTGGTCCTCTCAGTGCGCTGGAGCCTGAGTTCATTGACTGTGCAGCTTCAGGGTTATCAATGACCCAGTGGTTTGGGTTGGGTGTGCACTGTGTGTGTGTTCAGGTGTAGACTGGTTGATCCACTGTACACCCCCACAAAGTCAGTGACCACGTTAGGCTTTCAAAGTGGCATCGCAAAGCCCCCACCAGAGGCTCTAGAGGAAACCCAGGACCTTCAGGGTCGGGGGAAAAGTCCTCCCCTGAATTATAAATTGAAAAAAGAAAAGGCAGAGGACCAAATCCTCGGCTGGTGTAATTGGTGCAGCTTCACTGAAGTCAGTGCAGCTCCACCTATTCACATCAGCTGAAGAACTGGCCCAAAGTTTCCATTAAATGCACTAGGGCCCTCACCAGGTCAACCTAATTAATCCAAGAGATGCTCAGATACTACGGTGATGGACACTAGCACAAAAGATAGAGGGGTGTGGATGGGGCTAGCTAGCTAGCTAGAGTTTATTAGTGAGAAGTTCCTGGGAGCAGTCCCAGGACCTGACTTGTCCAATATATTTATTCCCTATGGTAACCTATTTTAAGAGTATATTAGCACCGTGCACAATATTAACACCGCTTTTCACTTATGAATCAGGAAATGTGGACGTTAACTCTGCCCTTTTGTGTGTATGGAACATCGTGATACAGATTCTGTCTGTCTGTCTAGTTACGTATATGACCCTCATCACTGTAGTATATGAGCACTTATAATACAATCATATACTACTTCTGAAATAACAGACAGTTTCCTTCCTACGACCTCCCATGTTGCACATCTCTCTTTGTTTTCTTACACCAATTTTATTCTCAGAATGGGCCAGTTTTTCTTTATTGACTTTAGGGTAAACATTTTAAAAGGACCCCAATCACTGAGAAACCTACGTTCCATTTTTTGAAAGTGACATAGGCACATAGGCCCTAAGTGTTATTGCAAGTCAATAGGACTAAAGCTCTTAAGTCACTTAGGGGTTTTGGAAAAATTTCCCCTAAACTTTTGAGATGAAAAGGTCTTTTCTCTCTATAGCACTCATGTAATACATATTTTCTTGTGCCAGCAGAAGTACAGTCATTAGTCTTCCTTAGGGTGTAGTTCAAGGGATAAGGCCATTAACTATGAAGTTAACATAGATTCAAAGTTCGGTGGTTGAATGTATACTAGCAAATGTCACCATTATTCTGTATTGTTATACTTCATCTATAATAAATGGAGTCACTAGTGTTGGACAAAGACCTCTTCCTGGGTGAAATTCACCCCTAAGGGTAGGCAGCACTTCAGTAGGTGAACAATCCAATGAGTCTCTGTGCAGACAAAGGGGTCCTGCTAGCTGATTCAGATGCAGGATTGAGTCAAATATTCTAGGCATTGTACAGATGAAGGACGGGGCACAAGAAACATCCGTAAGCCAATGACTGAGTGGTAATGTGAGACACACCTCTGGTTAGTTTCACGATTTTAATGCTTTGGGATTTTTTTAGTTTATTGGTTTTTGTCAACAGTTTTGTTAACACTGCTTTCAGGAGAGGGCTGGGGTTTCTCTGTGTCTGCTTGCATGCTATGGTAGATAGATAGATAGATAGATAGATTAGATAGATAGATGCAACTCCAGCTTCATGCAGGTTGTTCAGGATCCCCCGGCTTCCTAAGAAGAGTATGGCCTGAGCTACTGCATCTTCTCTTGGATCTAGTGACTGTACCGTCTTGCTCTGTCCAAAACACGCCATCTCACAGCATGTCTTTCCACATTTCCAGCTCGCTCTGTCACAGATAAAAGGCTTTGATCAAAAATCAGGGATCAGGCATAGACGTAAATGTTTGTGACTGACTTTAACGGGCTGAGGGAGGGCTGTTAAAAAACGTCTTCGCTGCAGTTCCTGTTGCTCAGGTTAGCAGAAGGAACTTCCTCTGACATCCGGGCAGCAAGCAGGAGCATCTGTGCCTAAGGGCTTGGGGTGTGTTGCGGGGGAAGGGAGGAAGGAAATCTGGAACCCATAAGCTTCACTGATGTTTGCATTACCTTGCACTGTTGTATTGGTCTGCGCTTGGCCCCTCCCCCAGCCCTCCCTGCCCTATCAGCAAAGGACATCCACAAAGTTATTCAAATGTCCCTCCTCTCCTTAGCCCTCCCCCCCCAAAAAAACAAAAAACCCAAAAAACCACCCAGCTCCTTGAAGGTTGGGGAGGCTCCGAGCCTTGAGGAAGTTTGGGAAGTCTGGCCAGTGGACACGTCAGGGCTGTACTCCCTGGGCTGGCTTTGTCTGCTTTCCAGGCTGCCTCTCCAGATGCACTGTGGCCTTTGCAGGCCCTCCATCCTGTGAGGTCCAAGGCCCCAGTGCCTGCCAGGTGGGAGAGACTCCTGGGCTGAAGGGGATCAGTTCTGAGAAGATGAAAGAGGAGAGCATGTGCCCAGACTCCCCCGAAGGCAGCCTGGTCACTAGTGAGGAGGAGGGCGAACGGCTTCACAAGAAATGTCTCCGCAAGCGCGGCCAGATGGGCAAACCCGTGGAGGATTGTGGCTCGCATTCTCCGCAGGGCAAGCGCAGCAAGCGCAGCCCCGTTCCCCAGTCCTTCGAGGACGTGCACACTCAGCGGGTGATCGCCAATGTACGGGAGAGGCAGCGCACCCAGTCACTCAACGATGCCTTTGCCGAGTTGCGGAAGATCATCCCCACGCTGCCCTCCGACAAACTCAGCAAGATTCAGACCCTCAAGCTGGCCGCCCGCTACATAGACTTCTTGTACCAGGTGCTGCAGAGCGATGAGCTGGACCACAAGATCACCAGCTGCAACTACCTGGCCCACGAGAGGCTCAGCTACGCCTTCTCTGTCTGGAGGATGGAAGGGGCTTGGTCCATGTCAGCATCTCACTGAGCCTGCAGGATCCAGCCAACAGGTATGTATAACACGCTTCCTGCTGCCCGGCGCCACCGAGAGCATTGCCTTTGCATCCCTCCCTCCTGCCTTCTCCGGGCCCCTCCCCGGCTGTATTTGTAGCTTCTCCAGGGGAAGGAAATGTCATCTCTCCCCCCACCCCGCCATGTGCAGTGCGTTTGAACAAACCCCAGACGCGCGACGAGCCCGGTGCTCAGGCGAGGTAGCTGACCCCGAAGCTAACAGGATAGCTTTCATTGCCAAGCCGCCACTCACGTTAATGGGACCTTGGAGGGATCTGAGCAGCAGAGCCCTAGAGCAACTGATTTAATTTACCAGCGACAATGGGGGGTTGTTTCTAAGGGCCAGCTAATGAAAGGTTTAAAACAGGAGTTTAAAATCAGAATTAGCCTCTGATTGTAGCCCGAGAGTGCGGTTTAAATCAGGAGCAGCTCTACTGAAATCAATACACCAGTGTAAGAGAGACCGAATCAGGCCCAGCTACGGCACCGAGCACCCCAAATGCAGCATTCTTGTAAGATGCGGTCCCCGATTCTGAGCTCATTGCACTGGTGTAAATCAGGAGTGACTCCGCTGAAGTCAGTGGAGTGGCACAGGGGCCAAGGCCTGCAGAGGCTGCCCCGTTACTCTCCTGGAGCACTGTTTACAAGGGTAGAGAACAGTAACCTCCTCTGATCTGATGGGAGCTCAGCCTAGCTGTAGTATGCCAGGAATAACGTACTCCCGGGAGGATGCGGGAGACATGGAGTTTCAGACGCATATTGCTGCAGACATTGCACTGAGTCGGGATATTATATGCATTCCAGCCTCACGCAAATGCCATCCAAGGACTCTCTGGGCTTCAGGCTCTGCTCCTCTCAGCCACTGACAAAGGAGAGCAAAGACCTATCAGCGAATTACTGATTTCTGGCAGCCAGGAGCTGCTGCAGGGGCAGAGAGAGTCCCGTGAAGTGCACTAAGGGATATGGGGAGGCCAGGGCAAGGAAGGGTGACAGCACAGCATCCGCAGACCCATCCCAACCCCTTGCCATCCCTGGATATCCGAGACAACTGAGAAATAGTAATAACAATTAAAGCCAACTCCTGGGAATGGCAGCTGCAGTCATCTCCTAGGATATAAACCTCTCTAGAACACAGGGCCGTGGGCATTGCCAGACTGGGTTCAACCCACAGTCCATCTAGCCCAGTGTCCTGACTCCGACGCGCCCAGCACCAGATGCTGCTGAGAAAGGTGTAAGAATCCTGCCGTAGCAGATGTGGTCTCTAATAATTAGCTATCGGCTGACGCCCCAAAGCCCTTCCCGGATGTTGGGTAGCATTAATGACAGGGGCTCTGGACATTCTCATTATCCATAGAAATGACCGGTCCCTTTTTCCAATCCCCCAAATGGACGTGCATCCAGCTCACGGCAGCCACCTTCCTGCTCCATCCCCGTGGATCGGCCCAGGTCCTCTTTCCTGGACTCCCGGCCTCATTGCCGTGGCCCTCGTGCTGGGATCAATATGTCTGGCTTTCCTTGGATGCTGACAGACAGGAGAGTGGAGCACCTAGTTAATCAGCAACTGGCCGCTCTGCCTTGTGTCAGTCCGGCTCCTATGGTGCACACTCGTCTAGGTTGAGGCTAAGCTCATGAGGAACACGTCAGTGTTATTTCTGCTCCCCCCGGGAGATGCAACCAAACTTCTCAACATGCAATGACCCTTCTCCTTTGATTTTTATTTCTAGATATGAATTCTTTTATTAGGACCTGATCCAGCATGTCTCCTTACTCAAATACATTGTCTTGGGGGCTGGATTCCCCTCTCAATGCCCCACTTTCAATCAGGAGTAAATCCGCTGAATTCAATGGAGTAGTTAGCTCAGAATCAGACCCATAATGGTGAGTGTGGGCGGGATCAGGCCCTTCACGGGTTTCAATGTAAATATGAAGCTACAGACCCTTTTTGTTAAACAAACATCAAGGTATCAGATCCGCCTAATGGAATCTGTGCCCGCTCCAGTGTGTATGAAACCCACACACCACTGTCAAGCAATTATCCTTCCTCGGATAACAGGCTTTGTACACAGAGTGATCTAAAATGTGAGGTGAAAGGCAAGAGCTCAGTTCTGGAGGGACTAGCAGGGAGCTGGGAGTATGGCCTCTGTTTAATGGCCCGTGGCTTGCTCACCCTCTCGCCTATGCCAGGAGATGGGGAAGCCTGGCGCCCAAAGCCTCTTTCTCTCTTGACCCACCGGAAGGTCAAGTCCCGTGTTCCTCCCCGCTCCCTGCTTTGTCAGTTTCATCTGATCCTGGACTGGGCTCCCCAAAGGCAGGAGTTGGAGCCAGAGTTTTACTTTCTAAATTGAACCAAATCCCGGGTGATTCCTGGGAAGGGGCATCAGTAATCTGAGGTTTATGCAGCAGTGACTGGAACTCTCTGCCGTTCCATACAGCACCCCTCTGACCAGTTACCTCTGCACCTGCTGGGTTCTCAGTCATTGCTATTGGAACCATTCATTACTTAATGGCTTTGGCTGTTAGGGCCAGAATTTCAACGCTCTTTAGGTGCCCAACGCAGCAGATTGGCACCTCGTGGGCTCTACAAATCACGAAGCAGGTTCGCTGCTGAACTCCCACCGAAAACAATTTTGGGGCCCAACTTGAGACCCGGCTCCTCACTGCCTCACCTGGAGGTGCCCGTCACTCTGCAAATCAGCGGGGCCAAGCAGCGCAGAAACAACACCTGAAATGTGGCCTTTGGCACCCCATTTAAACTGCTCTTTTTGCAAACCGGGGGTGAGGCGTCTCATGATGGGCACCAGTGAAAACTCGGCACCGAGAATCACAGGCAACTTCTGACCATTTATTATTTAATTGAGTATTTATTGGGCTGTTCCAATGTGATGCCCAAAAGCTCGCTGCTCCCTTTGGCTGTGGAAATCCCCTGAGCTCCATCCCTGACCTCAATCACTGCCAGTCTCTGCGTTGTGCTTGCCCAGTATCTGGGTGCTCCATTTCGGTAGGACCCTCCTCTGTTTGCTCTGGATAGCAGTGCAGTGAGAGGGATTCCAATGGGGATTTATCACCCCTCCCATGCACTGGGGTCTTGCAAATCACCACAGCGTTATATTTGCTCCTAGTCCTGCGCCAGTTCTTTCCACCGCAGCAGGGTCATGGCTTCATTGCACGCTCAGGCAGCGGATGCAATCACTGTTGGGCCTTTAATCAGGATTCATGGAAAGAGAAACCGCCTTAGGTCACACACTCCAAAGGCACCATGGTCATAAAATCGAAACAGTCCAAACGAGAAGTTAAAAGTATTTTCAGGTTTTATGTCTACCCCTCGGCCCCTGCTCTGAGCCGCTCACTCACACGGGCGCGTGCACACACACACCCTGGCACCTGCTCTTCACCTCAGATCAATTTTTGTTATTTTACAATGGTGTTTCCCTGTTGTTTAAAGATGTTTGTCTCTGTCCTGTCGCTGTGAGGCACTCAAACAACCGGGGAAGCATGGAAACAACCTGTCTCTGCACAGAATGCCGCTACATGGACACGGTAGTACACTGAAAACTAGAGTTGGTTGCCTCTTGTGCCTGTCACTGTGAGGTGTGGGTGCCCACGCAACTACAGTGGGTGAAATACAGTCAGATGGCAGGATGTGGCTTTTAAGTTGACGGTGTTTCTTTAAGTGTCCTTTATAGGGTCATAAATGTGTTAGTCTCTAAGGTGCCACAAGTACTCCTGTTCTTTTTGTGGATACAGACTAACACGGCTGCTACTCTGAAACCTCTATAGGGTCGTTAACTATTAGGCCTAATTAGCACTGATTTATTGTGCAATCCCAGTGAAGTTAGTGCTGAAAGTGACTCTGCTAATGTAATACCAGGGTGAAGATGGTCCAGCAGTAAGTGTGACTGCTGGAGGCAGCAGTTTAAACACTCAGACAGAGAAGTCAGAAGGCGAGTTTTGTTCCTATGAAGTTAATACGGACAGATCTGTTATTGCTCCAACTGGACAGTGTAGCAAACATTTATTAGTGGTGAGTTCGCAGAAAGTTAGCTCAGTCTCGGTCATCTACGGCTTGAGCGAAAGGCCATTTGAGTCAATGCAAAGAAACTCTATGACTTCACTGGGCTTTGGGTCAAGACAAGCCGCTAATGCCCTGCGTGCTTTGGGTTGTCTCTAGAGATGGAGTGCTTTCCCATGCTGGGTGCCTCAGCGGGACATCTGAGAATGAAAGTCCCTGGCATCAATGGCCACTTTTTGCAAATGCTGAGCCACGTGTCAGCGTGAATGTGGGTGTCGGGCTTCCTAAGATGTGCACGTCTGCATCTGTTTCTGGGACTGCGTGTGCATGTAGTTAAACTGGTCCGTGTTTGGCAGGGGTTTCGTTCCTATGATAAACCGATGAGTGAAAGCCCCTTCAGTGAAATAACTCTTGTAAATATCCCCCCAGTCCTGTAAATACAGAGCTATTGGTGTTCTTAATAGTCCTGTTTCATATTCAGCCCAGATGGCTCCAAAATGCTTGCTAGAAACCCTGGTCTTTTTGTGATACATTGGTCTCCAAAATGGATGATTGTTTGTACTGTGCATTCCTGCCACAATGATACCAACTGACAGCTCCAAGTTAGGCAGGGAAATAATGGGCAGTGGAACTTACAAGGTAGAGGGCAAAAGGAAGAAACAGCAGCGCTCAGGGAAATGCTCTTTAGTTACAAAGGCTGCATCTCTCTCGCCGGTCAGTTAGCGAATGCAGTGTTTGCAATGGGGCTGTCATTTCATAATGCAAAGCAGCTAATGCCTACTGAGTTTGCAGTATACTTGTCTCCACTGGAACCTTGCCTATTAAATATCAAAGGCCGCTGAACAGCTGAGTGTGCATATATGCTTGTGAAGCAGGAGACATCATTGGGGGTGAGGAGGGAGCCCCTTGGCAAGAAAAGTGAATGTTTGAAATCCACCGAGCTCGCAATTTTCAAAAAAAAAAAAAATCTTGAGCGCATTAAAACTGATG